TTTGAGTAACTCCACGATACAACCACACTAGCATATGTTAAACTCTCACCAACTACCCCATTTTTGGAATTGCTCGACCCATTCCGACTCCCTCTTTACTATCAACGGATGCCGCAAATCTCACTGCAAAGGAGTTATTGCACACAGTTCTGTATCTTATATAGGCCCAAGTTTTAGTGAATATTGTGGCTCAAACTCGAGGCAGAATACTTACCGAATATTGTTACTTAATATACAGTTAAATAAAATTCACTTAGTCCGTACCTTCGTGTAACCAAATAAACCTGATCTTGTCTTGCTTGCTGAACTTTGATGTAGAGAAAATATGTCGTCAACTGATTTCAACTGACAGATATAAACGGATCAGACGTGAGGATAAGACAGGTAGAGATGGAAAGTGAATTATTTACTACTCACAAAACCTGCTTGTTTCTAAGTGTACACATCCACTTATCTGTCCCTCTCTTGATTCTGTCTGGCTGATTTTGTCTTTCGGTGGAAACCGATCTATTGTAGATTGCGTATATCACCCACCTGGTGTCAGCTAGTATAAAGAAACCCAAGTATTAAACCTTTTAGTTCCATTTCGGGATCTACTCTGCAAAATAAGATATATGCTGGTCTAGATAAGTACCAACCGGGAATCACGCAAACGTTTTATGTTTTCTTATGACAGAACGATGGACTCAACATATTCGTTCACCTACAAGGGGTAAAAGTGTGTTGGACCTAGTTTTTACTTTAGGCCCTATTTCCATTTTCACCGAGGTACTACGTGGCCCCCCATGATGCGGCCACGAATTAGTTGCCTTCAAAACATCGGTCGACCCCCCACTAGTCAATTCAAATTTACATTCCTTCATCCCACAAAGTGTAAACTGGAACTCATTCTCCCTTATACTCCAGCCGCAAAATTGGGATTTTTTCTTTCTTTCCCATGACCTCCAGGATGTATCTGCTCTGTTTTCTCGCAACATACAATACTTCTTGAAATTATTGACTATCAGCAAAAAGAAACCTTGTGCTAGACCTACGGTTAGCTCGACTGTTGCTGAAAAATATAGAAAAGAAATGCGCGCACTAGCTCGAACGTATGCGGAAACTGTTGTTTTCAGCGTGCCATTGCGTCTCCAAAGGCTGGTAATCGAAACGGATACCATGAAAGCTACACATAGTAGACAAGAAGAGGAACGCTTTTTATACAGCAGAAACAAAGCTGGTGAACTAAGTAATTGAAAAAGAGCAAAGTGCGACAAACAGATCTACCCTCACATATTATCACACTAGACTGCAGTGTTGTCGACACGTCTACCGTCATGGCAAACGACTTTAGTACATACTTTGCTGAATCTTTCAGCAACGAAAATGCGATGCTAGTACCTTCATCCTCACTTGTCACCCCCCGAGTTTATTACTTGTTGACTTCCGCATCGGAGTCATTAAACGTTTGATTACCTTGATTCGGCCATCTCATAACCCTGGTCTCTTCAGCCGTAATCAAGCGTGGTGGTGAATATATATATATATCGGGATTAGTAGTGCATCTCTTTCCCGTCCCTTACAGTCAGGCCAGTATCCTGCAAGATGAAAGGAATCTGCTGTTATGCCGCGATATAATTCTGGGCCTAAAACGGATATTCGTAATTATCGCCCCCATTACTCACACCTCCAACTTATCACGATTGATGGGAAGAATATTAAAAGAAAAACGCACTTCTTTCATCTTATCACACAGTCTTCTTGCACCTTCACGGCATAACCTTTTAAAGTTTCAATCCTACATAACATGCTAACTTGATTTCTTAAATAATCTCACCGGAACGATTGACTATGGTATTCAATGTATTGTCTTTTATCTTGATATGCAGAAAGCGTTCAATCGAGTTTCGCACCAAAGGAAATTATCGAAACCGAGTAGTTTTGGCATATCAAATAGACTTCTACCCTGGTTTACATCCTATCTGACAGGACGCTCCTAGACAGTCAACATATATGAGTTCATGTCTACGTCCCAACAAGTTACTAGTGGCGTTGTTCAAGATAGCGTTGTAGGTCCTCTTTTCATGTTGTACATAAACGACCTTACACCTGTCATACGTTTCGGAAGCTCACACTTGGTTTTAAATGATTTAAACGTGGTATACTCGTTCCATTCATCCCAATGCATAACTGAGGTAGCAAATGTTAAATATGACCTACAAACCATAGAGGGCTTGGCTGCAAAAAGACAGATACACTTCTCCACATCAAGATGAAATATCATGACTTTTGGATGCCATATTGAAGCAGGATTTTTTCTACTTCAGGACAATCCCACGCCAGTGTGCTCTTTTGTCAGAACTTAAGACTGAGGTGTTCCAGCTCTTTAAATTTCAAAGAACATGCGAACTATATTGTTTCAAAGGCCATGCAAGTATCGGGATCTATTAGTCAGTTACTAGCGTTGAGAGACAAGGCTCATGGCATATAAAGTCAATGTAAGACCCTTGTTAGAATACTGTAGCGATAGATTTAGCAATTTACGCACATGTGACCTGAAGGCCATAGAAAATGTTCAACGCGCCTACACCAAACGCATTTTCGGTTACTCTATACTTGTTCCTTATAAACATAGATACAGTGAATTAAAAGTTGAGCCTTTATGGCTGCGTAGGTTACATACACACACGCGTGACGTGCGTGCTCCTGGTTTCTTCGGATTATTCCTCTCTATCCTCTCTCCATATTCTCCCAGGGTTATCACTATATGCTGCGGGGCCCAAAAGGACAATTGCTATCGTTTATGCACTATTTAATTGTTGACCAATCGTACATTATTCTTTCTTGTTCTAATCTTCCTTACAACTGGCTCGACACTCGACCGCCTTGTAGCTTCCCGCGCTAACGTGTACCTCCTGTCCTGCTTCATCCGTCAGCGTCTTCTTGTAGCTCATCGAATACAGTCCGCTGTGTCCGACTCCAATTGCCTTCTGATATCCTCGTTTACTTTCGCGCACTGTCTCGGACTAGTATTTACTAGTCCTACAAATTGGTGACCCAGATCCACACGCGCGAATTTAAACACTTTTCGTCCTTAGTGTTTTTTGTGAGTTCGTTCCCTTTTTCATTTATATACCTGTGTTCATTTGTCTCTTGTGTAATTTTAATAGTTTCAGCGTGTTTTGTTCATTCTTGATCTTTTCGATTCACATTTTGAATGTGGCATCTTAGTCGTTTTACAGCGTAAACGTGCTTGTTTTGCCTGTTCCAACTTTCATGGAACACAGTCCAGAGGTTTTGTTTGTGGTATTCGAGATCAAACTGGAAAATAAGTGCAAAGTATGAAACGATGAAGCAAGCGCTTCTTAAGGAGTTACAACCCAGCGCATGAGCTGGATTTGAACAGCTTGGAGATCACAAGCCGTCGGCGTTGCTCCGCGAACTTCAGCGCATCGCTGAAAGAATTAGCTACCAAGGCAGACGCTGCGTTCGAACGTCTTCCGCAGCAGAGGACCAGTAGCTCCGGTGACATATTCTCACCAATGAAAACCGAATCTCATGTTTGCTCTCAGTTGTCAGGCCGATCTGACCCTAAAGACGAGGAAATTGTGCTACTTTGCAGCAGGCTAGCGGCAATGAAACCTTTGAAGCAGCTTGTACCACGGTCAGATGCTGACCACGTTTTGGCTACTGTTCATTGCGGCTCGTCTGTTCCTGCACCGAGTACGTCTCGTTCGAAACGAAAGACCAACATTTTCCCTGCACGTTCTTAGTCAGGTACTACCAAACCCGTAGAAGAAGTATGTTGTTATCACCGCTAATATGGTGGAAGAGCTAGACGTTGCATTAGGCACGACTTAGCCGCTTCAGGGAAAGCGAATAGCCCGCATACTAGCACAATCAACGTATCTGTCAATAACCAAACAAATCGCCCGTTCTACGGTAAGGATCAACGTTCTTCCATCACGTTCCATATCGATACGGGGACGGAAGTCAGCATCATCCCAGCGAACGAGAACGACAAGCACTCAACGCCTACATACAATTTGCGTGCGGCCAACGGTTATCCGATAGCTTCATTCGGTCAATGCATGATAAACATGGACCTCAATCTTCGCCGAGCTTTTCAGTGGTTCTTCATGGTGGCGTCTGTACCCTTCCCAATTATCGATATCGACTTCCTCCGACACTTTAGCTTGCGTGTTGTTGCTGGTCGCCACAGACTTTTAGACCACCGTACTAAACTAGGGGTCGAAGGCGTTCTTCCGGACGGTCTGATAATCGGTTCCGTTTTCCGATTCGCCGATGTACAATCGGATTATGCGAACCTACTGTCTGAATGCCCGTGACTGGTAAGACCAGCTACAGAGCTTCGGCCAGTCACGACAGAGGTAGCTCACCACACAACCACGCGTGGTCAACCAGTTAGCGCACGACCGAAACGGCTTGCTCCAGACAAACTACCTGCCGCACGATCTAAATTCGACCACATGCTTCAGTTCGGTATCGTCAGACCGTCCAACAGCCCATGGAGTCACCTCTCCACATGGTCCCGAAGAAGGTCATACGGGATTGGCGTCATTGCGGCGACTATCGAACCTTAAATACGGTTACCACGCCCGATCGCTATCCGATCCCACAGTCTGGCAGGTAAAAATATCTTCGCCAAAATTGACTTGGTACGCGCATGCAACCAAATTCCGGTGGCTGAAGCAGACATAGCTAAAACTGCCGTGAAAACTCCATTTGGTTTGTTCAAAGTCTTGCGCATACCATTTGGTCTAAAGAATGCCATGTAAAAATTTCAGCGCTTCATCGAGCAAGTTTGTCGCGGTTTAAACTTCACTTACGATTGTCTCGACATTTTAAACGCAAACTCTTCACGAGAAGAACACATTCGTCACGTACGAACACATTTTGATTGTTTGTCTCAACACGCGGTGACAATAAACGCAGAAAAGTGTTCGTTTGGTGTCGACTCCGTAAACTTCCTCGGACGTCGTATCTCCCCCGCAGGCGTCATGCCACTGCGTGATAAAATGCAAGCCATCATCGACTACCCCGAGCCTCTTTCTTTCAAACAGCTCAGGCATTTTGATGGGCTTGTCAACTTTCACCGATGGTTCATACCAAACTGCGCGTCGCTGATGCAACCCCTCACCTACCTACTTTGTGGGAACAAGAAATTCGACTTTCCTGCCGCGGCACGCGCTGCTTTTAAGTCGCTGAAAGAGGCGGTCGCCAACATAGCTTCTATATCGCATCACGATCCGGACGCTTCATTGTCCCTCAGTACTGACACCTCGGACTTGACAGTCGAAGCTGTTTTGCAGCAACGAGTAGCCGACACGTGGCAGCCCTTAGCGTTTTTCTCCAAACGCCTACAACCTACCGAATCTCGCTATAGCACCTTGGGGTAGAGAACTACTAGCCATATATCTAGCGCTACGTCACTTTTGACACGTCTTAGAAGGCCGCTCTTTTGCCGTCTTCTCCGACCACACACCTCTGACTTACGTGCTCGGCCCGACTACCGAGCGATACTCTCCTAGAGAGTCGCGCCACCTAGGTTATGTCGCTCAGTTTCCGACCGCTACATAACATGTCTCAGGTGTGCACAACGCCGTCGCCGATGCACTTTCCCGCATCCAAGCTATCAGCTCTGACGCCGGCACTGCTATCGACTTGGCAGCCATGACCACAGTGCAACTCAACGATCCTGAGGTTGATCTACTATGCAGGTCTCCCGCACTGAACATACGACCCGTTCCGCTGACATCCTCAGACGGAACTATACTTTGCGATTTATCTCTGAGCACGACGCGCCCAGCTGTCCCACGCGACGTTCGACAGACCGTGTTCGACATGTTGCAGGCTTGTCTCATCCAGGCATTCGTGCATCGGTTAAACTCGTAACCGCACGATTCGTTTGGCGCAATGTCAATCGGGACGTCCATACTTGACTAGCTGCTTGCCTTCCGTGTCAGCGCGCGAAGGTGCACAAGCACACGAGAAGCCTATTAGGCACGTTTCCCACGCCAGACGCAGGTTTTCATCACGTACACGTCGACCTCGTAGGACCTCTTCCGCCTTCGAAAGGCTCGGTGTGTCTACTGACCTGTATCGATCGATCCACTAGATTGCCTGAGCCATCCCTATGCCAAATTGCTCTTCTAAAACGGTAGCGAAAGCTTTTTTGGAGCGCTGAGTAGCTCAATACGGCTGTCCCGCCATCGTGACCACCGATCGGGGGTCATATTTCTCGTCGACATTTGCCGCGTTGCTTAAGGATTTAGGCTGTCGCCATGTCCAGACGACGGTGTATCATCCGACCGCTAACGGTATGGTGGAGCGTTTTCCCCGGCAGTTGAAGGCAGCGCTATGGGAGCACACAGATCCTCCATGGTCTGAAACACTTCCCCTCGTTCTCCTAGGCTTAAGCAACACGGTTAAAACCGATTTCGACGCCACTCCAGCGCAGCTAGTCTACGGTTGCACGCTGCGGTTGCTCGGACAGCTGGTAGCACCAGCCCAGTCTACTTCCTCTTTTGACTACGGAAGTTACTCTGATCGATTAGCTCACCATATGCGTGACCTACGTCCACCCGCTCCTCGTTCGCAGAAGACACCATCGTACGTGCCCGAGAAGCTGTCTACGTGCTCAGACGTCCTTCTTCGTGCAGACGGTATTCGACAGCCTCTTCAGTCACCGTACATAGGACCCTTCAAAGTGCTACACCGCGCGAATAAGATGTACACAATCGACCGCGGTGGCCGAAGCGAAGTCGTCACCATCGACCGTCTAAAACCTGTGTTTATGGAAGAAATCACCCCGTCTACTTCGTCTAGTAGTGCTTTCTGCGACGTCAAAACTCACCGCACCAGCTTTCAGCAGTACAAGCAGACCACAATCTCGGTCTACAAGCTTCAGCCGTCCCGACATCTCCCGAATCTAGCCCCCCGCCTTCCTCGGCCAATGGCCGTGGTCGGGAGGTGCATAAGCCGGTTCGTTTCTGCGACTAGGTGCATTGTAAAAACATTTAAGTTTGTAGATATTGTATACATTTGCCCAGTCTTTGGTCGACTAACGTTTTGAAAGCAAACAAAAATATCAAAAACGTTCGAAAAATCTTTTTCTAAAAATATGCAAAACCAAAAATGTAACATGCCGAGCATTCTTTGGTTCTTTCTGACGCTCTCTGCGCGCATTTTTCTATTCTCTCGTCTCTACATACCGCAACCCCCCCTTCAATCGACTGGCCCTCACAAGCAATGTTTTCGAGGACTCTGACGCGAACGCTGGTCGTTTCTCCGCGGGATGAGAGGCTCTTCTCCGCGGGAAGAGTGTCACTTCTTCGCGGGACGAGGGTCGCTTCTCCGTTGGACTACGGTCGTTTCTTCGTGAGACGATGGTCGTTCCTCCATGGAACTAGGGTCGTTTTGGCGTGGGGCGGGGTGCGGCGGGGGGAGAGACCACTCCCAAGAGCGCCGTTTGGCAGCAGCGGAGGTTGAGGTCCTGTCGCCCTTTTTCTGTGCTAGTCAGTTATTTGTAGTCCGACTAGCCAGCTCCAACAGCTCGCCGAAATGCCCCATGCCCTGAAGTCAATAAATAATAAATCACAAACGGCACAACGGACTCCGACTTCCGGCGAACACCACTTGACACGAACGCTCACTCATTCTTACTTGGTACGATTTTGCCCTACGAACCTCGATTCATCTGCCATTTTCGATATCGAAGGCTTTCTATGTTCAGCCTTTTAAGGGGGAACTCTGTATCGCCCAAAAAGATAACTATAATCTTTTATGTATATTTAATTGTTGACCAATCGTACATTATTCTTTCTTGTTCTAATCTTCCTTACAACCGGCTCGACACTCGACCGCCTTGTAGCTTCCCGCGCTAACATGTACCTCCTGTCCTGCTTCATCCGTCAGCGTCTTCTTGTAGCTCATCGAATACAGTCCGCTGTGTCCGACTCCAATTGCCTTCTGATATCCTCGTTTACTTTCGCGCACTGTCGCCGACTGGTATTTGCTAGTCCTACAACGCTCATTTGAACTGGATTTACCAGCCCTACACAGTAATCCATCATAGGTGCAATCATCTTCGAGGATGAAAGTCCGCGCCAGCACTAACGGTTTTCCCTGTTATCCATGATTAAACACAAGCGGATAACTCAATCGCATTCAGCCGATTGACATTCTGTGTGAAACCATTCGATACGGAATTCTCGAAGCAGTCCGGAAAGCCTAAGCTTATTCCAATCCGGAGTTTCTCAAAGAGGCCGTGAAACAATTTGTTATCTCTCAGTCTGTGTTCAGCGCTGTGTTCAGATTCAGTTAGCAGGTTCCAGTCACTCGCCATTCCCTTTGACCTTGTCAGCCAATGCGCCTATCTAACTCAGCACAAGGACCGAGCGACCACCTCGACCGCTCACATGACCTTGCAACCAAAAGGCTCGCCTGACCGATGTGCGCCGCTCTCAAAGCTGGAAAAGTACAGAAGGTCAACCAACCCACTGGGTCAGGTAACGGCACCAGGTTGAATGGCAGAAATGTGAATCTGCATAGGCTCCGAGCAAAAGGAACTTGAGGGTTAGGAGAATGTCATCGACTAGTTAAAACTGTTTTGGCTTGCTTGCACTGTTTGAAATGGTATCATGCGAAATGTGCAAAGGTGTCCAAACAACGGGTACGAGAGCGAAATAGCTCACCAGATGCGCTTTGCTTCTGTATTGGGTACTCGACCATCCCACTCATTAAGTACTTGCTTATCCTAGTTCGGAAATGCGACCGGTTAACCAAAGAATCCGAGCAGAGGATAAGCGATCCGATTACTTTAATGGATGCGAGTATGCAACAGGGAAGCGTAGTGGCCTCTAAACAACGGAATGGTGCACAATCCGCTTCCCATGAACCGCAATCAGCCACGTCCCCATCTCCGTTGTCTTCTCCAACTTTGGTAGGATGACAGGCGAAAACGGACCGTATCTACGAGAGTCAAACAGTACTCGTGGCAACGAAAATTATGCACCTGTCGAAAAGTCTGGTTAAGGACATTTCACTAGACCTGACATCTAGCATTACCAAGGATGAAGCAACCGAACACCAACCGTCGATACCAGTAGGTCAACTGTCTCTTGTTGAAACAAAGCCCCCCGGAACATCAGTAATATATACAGAGATTGCTGCAAAGGTCAGCCGGGAGACCGCCGTTGCGGCCTCTTCTGTTGTAAACAGCGTTAACTCGAATGGAGGGACAAACAGTGAAAAATCAACACTTGTCAGAAGGTCAGGACGCACGATTACCTTGTAGATCAACGAAACAGGGATCTAACAATAGAGCCCCGACTGTTGTATGCGCAAGTGTCCCTGAATCCACCGCCATCACATTGCTGGTTAAGTTATCGGACGAAAAAACCATTAAAAGTTCTTGAGCTTGCTGATGAGTGTCAAAGCCTATCCCATAGACTTATTACGAATTACTCGTCATCCGAACTCGCCACACTATGGAGAACCCAGACTTATCTGCGTAACACTCGAATCCTCCACCGACGTAGAAAAAGTTTCGCTCTCCGCAAGCGCGCTAAAACACGGATCCTGTGGGATACGTATCTATCCTGATGTCCCTTGGTGCGCGCGGCAATCAGAAAGAAACACCGAAGAGGGACACAGCAATCAATACCGCCTAAACACAATCTTTATACATGGCGTACCAGAACATCCTTCTAACGATGTTCAAAAGACCGGAAAGCACGATTTAGAACAGTGGCGGTTCATTCGTGAAACACTTTCTTTGGATGATGTTGTGGCACTATGGCTCATCAGGATACTTCTCTCACCAAATTATAGAGGGTGTGGCACTAGAATCTTAAAACTTGCGGTTCGGTCAGCGAAACAAGCAACGGACGTTTTGGATCGATGGCGGAGAAATCGGAAAACCTTCCTTCTGAAATTCGGTTAAAGGTGGCAGAAGCTTAGGGCAGTCCAAATATCAAAGCACCTGAAGCAACAAGCGTACAGATGATGGTACAGAAGCTTAACTTTTCTGCCACTTTATTTGACTCTGATGTAGGTCTAAACAAAGATAGGGATGCAGCTTTGCCGAATCAAGTTTCAGATCAGGTATCATTATCCCATCAAAAAACCAGTAACTGCCGACTTCCCATTGGTCGGCATTCGTCCACACTTGACCTCGTTAGCTCTCTGTGGGCTCCTAGACACCGAGAAACTAGCCTACTTGTATACGAATGCACAGGGTCCTATTAATAAATTGGCCAAACTGAAAGATCGCCAATCTTCCGCGGCATATGATGTCACTGGTATCACCGCGACGTGGTTTTTCATGGAGATGATGGAAGCTGAAGTTTCGCTACCGCGCATGTCGCTGATCTGGAACGATAGTCACAACAAAGGA